ACTAATAAGACCTAGTCCAGAAACAGCATGTTGAGTGGCCTATCAATAAAAATCTTCTTCAGAGCTGGGAACTAGCCTTCCCAGCAATATGGGACAAAATGGCAATGAAATGTCCCCCAAAGTATGGTTGGATTTGTGACCACAAGGGGGCCGTGTCAGCTACAAATTGGCACTTACCAAGAGCATTGCCAACGTCTGAACAACAAAGGCATCTGCCACCTGCCTCTATGGAGATTGAGCCCCACGCTGCTACAGCTGGTGACCTTCAACAACCCCTAAGGGAGTTCAGGGTGGAGTGAGGCACTCTGTGCCCCAGGGAAACTGGGGGGACAGGTCTTTAGATAGTTGGATGGTCTCAGGAACAGATTTTATGATCTCAATCCTTGTGTCTCCTCATATCTAGAGAAGCAATAAATCCCTTCCTGGTGACATCAGATCCTCACAACCTTCTGTAAAATGAGTGCTTCATGGTATTGAACTCCCCTTTCACCAAAACCTTATATACTGACTTTTCCCACTGCCACTTTGGAGCAGTCTCTCAGAGCTGTCTGAGATGCTGTCTCCCGGGCTGCAGTCCTTATTTTGCTCCAAATAAAACTTACCTCAAAACTCTCAAGTTGTACATCTTTTTTTTAGTTGACACTTGCTGCATTAGAAAGGTGAGGGGGACCCTTTATTTCCTGTCAAGAACTGAATTTTTCCCCTTAAAATATTTGCTATTATAATCCTAATCCTAATCTGTTTTCCTACCCCCTCCCCCCACCCCAGCAATTTATCCATTTCCCTGCTTTGAAGCCAAACAAACAAACAAAAAAAAAGACAGAAAGAAAAAGTACTTCAAGAAGAAGAGGAAGTCACAAACACAGAAACATAGACTCAAAAAGCATCTTCTTATGTTTCAAAATATTACTCTCAAAAGATACAAAAATGCATTAGCATAAAACACACCAAAAGTAATTTTGGTATATTTCCCAATTCACCATCATGTAACACAAACTACACTTGGTGATTAATGAATCGTAATTCATCAACTTCAGAAGACCTGGGTCAAGTAATTCTGAAAATAAAAGAGGGACATTAGTAGCTTGCATGTACATGGTGTTGTAATGTTTGCAAGAGGCTTTTGAATACTTGCCTTAATGTAACCCTATAACACCCTTGTGGGTTCTGTTTGGCTATCTTCACTTAGAGGCCTAGAGCAGTTCATCTATTTGCCACCAACCAACGTGGTTTAATGGCTAAGTCGTGTCTGACTCTTGTTGACCAACCAATGTGGAGCTAGAATTTGAGAACAAAAACAAAACACATTTTAAGACTGTCTTTCTTGTGGATTTAGAGGTAGAAATGAAATGTGTACTGGGGGCAAACTCTTTTTGCTTTCATAGGAGACACTTTAGGAAAGTCATTCAGATGGTAACCAAACATTCTAGTGCCCTGGAGAAGCACTCAGCAGATGAAGAAACTGAATGAGATGTGCTACTGAGAAAGACGTGCATTGTTCAGAAACAAGAAGCCACTACCTCCCCAGAAGAGAGCTCTCCTTAGCACCTACTACGATGTGAATTGATATTTCATTTCCTGGGCAGGCCTCAGAGACAGGGGTTGGGGTTTTGTACTCTGGAGGATCTTAAAAACTTGGACTCTTGAAATGGGAGACAGAGAGAGTCCCAGAGCAGAGATAAATTGCTGAAATTCTAGGAAAAGTGTACCTAGTATTGTAAGTTTACCCTTTTCTGCATTGTGATTTCCTTCCGGCATCTTTAAGCATCAGTAAGTTCTGTTGAACTCAAAAGGAACGTGCAAATGGTTCTTTGAGGAATATATCAGCCCAGATAGATGTCAACCCAAAATAGTAACAATGATAATAATGCAGGAAGCTGCAAACAAAAGGCTTACTTGGTGCTCTAAGAATTTCAACTCGAGAGACATAGATTCAGGTAAAACCAAGAGTGTTCCAAGGAAGTGAAATAGTCCAGGTTTAAAAAAAAAAAAAGGCCCCAAAAGTTGCCTGATAAAAATCATGACTGACTCTGACCCCAGTCAGAAGATACTCGTGCTTAAGGAATCAAGAGTTACTTAGTGAAAAGGTCTGATAAGTAGATAGGCTGTCAGATGTTCTGAATGATGTCAGCAGGTCAAAGCCATCCAGACTCCTTCATGGTCTTGGGGCTTAATTTCAGAGCAATACTGACTCCATCTTAATTTCCCTTTCATAGAAAATAGCTGCATACAAAGAGAAGGGGGGGCGGTGGCAGAGACTTGAAGAAGCAGAGAGGGAGGGGAGTGGGGAGAGATGAGCCTCCATATGGTACACGAGCTGCTGAAGGCACAAGTGGACCAGTGAAACACTCCTATGCTCCCCAGCAGTCTCAGAATACCCGCTCACGTCCAAAGGGAGTTCCAGCTTAGGACCACCAGATAATAAAAGAAAGAGGGCATCGCACAGTGCAGGACACCTGGGTACAACTATTACCCCAACACTGAGGTTTGCGGTGGAAAGAGTGTTTATTCACAAGGCAGCCAGCGAGGAGATGGGAGAACCAATCTCAAATCTGCCTCCCTGAAGGTGAGGGGCTCAGGGTATTTATGGGATAAAGAATAAAGAAGCAGTGTGGTCTGAAGTGTGGCAGGCACAGGAAAAGTTGATTGGGAAAAGGCACAGTCATCATTGTGCCTAAGGATGAGTAACGGCTGAGAGGGGACCAATCATGAGGAGAGGGTTGGAACTTTCCACCCCACCCTCTGATTTCCAGGAAGGAGAGAAGGGCTGGAGATTGAGTTTCATCACCAATGGCCAATGATTTATTCAGTGGTGCCTTTGTAATGAGGTAGCCATAAAAATCCAGGAGGACAGGGTTCAGAGGGCTGCTGGGTTGGTGAACACATAAAAATTGAGGGAAATGTCAGTCACAGAAGCTCCAAGACTTTTCCCCATATTGTGCCCTGATGCATCTCTTTCTTTGGCTGTTGATTTATATCATCATTTATTTTTTATCAAACCAGTCGTTTAGTAAGCACATTGCTTTCCTGAGTTCTATGAACTGCTCTAGGAAATTAATGGAGCCCAAGGTAAAGAGGGGATTGTGGGGATTTCGGGAATCTATTGACCAGAAGCACTAAATGTACAATTGGCATCTGAAGTGGGGGGCAGTCTTGTGGGACTGAGCCCTTCCCCTGGGAAATCTGATACCATCTCTGGGTAGGCATGTCAGAATTGAGTTGTAAGACACCCAGCGAGCGTCAGAGACCTGCTTGGTGCAGGAGGAAATCCACCACATTGAAATTGGGTGCATAATTTTACTGGCCCTTAGTAAGCACCATGAGTGTCCATCTAGGCTGATGACAAATATCGTATGTATAGCAGCTAATGGTCCAGTCGTTTTCAAATTTATTCTAGGAAAAATGAAAACTGCAAGTTATTTAGAATTAAAATGTTCTAGCCCCTTGCGTTTTGGCATTTTAAAAACATTGTTTTTCAAAGCAATAGGGAAAAAACCTTTCTGTGTTCTTTGGGGTTGGCTTCCAGCTCCTCACAGGTGGTGTTTGCATTGATCTGACAGTAAATCAGTCCAGGATGCTGAATAAACAATAGTTTGCCTTCAGTTGGATTTTCAATTATACCAGACATGTCATCTGATGTCTGGAAGCCTGAGGCTGCTGAAGACAAGACTGTCTTTGCAAGGTTATTTAAAGGAGATCTTTGTTTACAGGCCCCAAGATGTCCTCACCTCATATATCTCTTCCAGTCTGACATGCTCTTTTTAAATCCCAAAGGCTTTCTGTGTTCAGAAGCTCCTTATCTATTATAATATGAATGTCCCTGGGGAAAAAAAATAATTCTTTATCAACTCATATTTCAAGGAGGACCAAAGCATCAAAGGCTAACAATTTCTTGCAACCCAGGGCGATGGGAGAGATGTATGGACTAGGGAGGAAGGTGTGGGGGCAGGACAACTGAGGATGAGTTCTCTCTAAGAGTGGAGGCAGGTGAGAAGGATGGGCTCTGGGAACAGGACAAGGTTTGGATACCCACGCAACCAGCGTCCATGTCTCTCAGCTTCTACTTCCTCATTTTAAAAAGAGCAGAATAGTGTGTCCTTTACAGGGTGGTCTCACACAAGTGAGGTAAGTGGACCCTGCTATCACCCTGCCCATTAGAAGAAAGTGACAGTACAAACTCCACTCTGGGCTTTGGGGTCCTGGGGGTCAGGGGTCAAGGCCTCCTCCACCACGTGTTTGACCTTGGGCATCCATGAATATAAAGTGCATGGATATATCCTCCGCGGATATAAAGTGCAGACACAGTCTACCCATAAAGAAGGTTATATACAAGGCATATATTTTGTTTAACTTCTAGTTAGAAAACCATACGAATCATTCAAGTCTATTGCATTATGTTAACCATTTAAAGGAAGTCATCAATTGATATTAGGTTGATGGCTTATTTATTATTCATCTGAACCAGAACTAACCATACTAGTTATTCATTAGTCAGAAACGTTTGTTTGTGGTCATTATAGTTGAAATACTATCTTTCTGATGTGTTAGTAGGTAAGTCTTATCCGACTCTGCGAATCCATGGGCTGTAGCTCACCAGGCTCCTCTGTCCATGGGATTCTCCAGGCAAGAATACCGGGAAGCCATTCCCTTCTCCACGGGATCTGCCCCACCCGGGATCTTCCTCATTGCGGGCAGATGCTTTACTGTCTGAGCCAAAAGAGAAGACCATCTGTCTCATAGCTCTACTGAAAAACACCATTGAGGAACTATGACACCTAATAAAAAGGAAAATGGAGAAAAAGTGGGGATGAAATTTAAAAAGTTCAAGTTTCTTGCTTTCAGACCCCACTCCCTATCCCCACCCCCGCGCCCCAACTACCCCGTTCATTTCTCAGTGAAACGCTTTTTTCCGTCTCAGCCACAGGGTGTCAGTCTAAGCTTAGCCATTGTCTCTTTTTTCCGGAGCCTGAACAGACTTCGTTCGTCCCTTCCCTTCCTCTTCACTCCCAGCAGATGGAGCGTCTCTGGCTCTCCCGCACCGCCGTCCTTTGCTTGAGCTCCCAGCACTTCACAGGCCTCCGCTCGGCTCGGCGCGCAGCCTCGGGAGGAGCCGCCTGGGGAGCGCGGAGTTCCCGGCGAGCGAGCGCGCGCATCCGGGACCGAACCCCCGGGCCTGACTCAGGGGAAGACGCGGTGTACCTGCCTCCCACCGGGCCGGGGAGAGCACAGGCCTGGCTCAGCATCTCCGCGGCGCGCTCCTGGATTAAAACGGCTTTCCCTCCTGTAACTCGTCCTCCTCAACGTTGTCATCAGAACCTTCCCTGGGGGTGAGAAATAAATTCGGGAGCTTCTAGAATCACGTTGTCTCCACGCATCAGAGAAAAAATCAAGCAAAGGAAAATGCAGCTTTTCTTTGCCTTGGTTATGAGGATCCTCTAGCTTCCTTGAAAACAATGTTCAGTGTCAGAGATCAATGATTCAGGCTGAATTCTAGAGCCTGGAGTGATGAATTTGAACTTAGGACACTTGCCTGTCTGCTAGGGGCTGGGTGAAAAAAAAAAAAAGGTCCAGTTGTGACTCAGGGAGGACCAAAGAGCTTCTGTGAGATGGAGCAAGGAAAGTATCAATTTAGCTGCTGCCTTTTGCTGGAGGAAGAGATCTATAGACACTTCTCTAAAGAAGACATCCTGATGACCAACAAGCACATGGAAAGTTGCTCAACATCACTGATTATTAGAGAAATGTAAATCAAAATTACAGTAAGGTACCAACTCACACTACTTAGAATGACCATCTTCAGAAAGTCTACAGTAATAAATGCTGGAGAGGAGGTGGAGAAAAAGGAACCCTCCTACACTGTTGGTGGGAAGGTAAGTTGGTGCACCCACTATGGAGAATAGTACTGGAGTTCCTCAAAATACTAAAAATAGAGTTACTGTCTGATCCAGCAATTCCATCCCAGAGCATGTATCCTCAAAAGATGAAAACTCTCATTTGAAAATATACATGCAACACTGCTCACAAGAGCCTAGACATGGAAGCAACCAAAGTGTCCATTAAGAGAAGAACTGATAAAGAAAATGTGCTGTATATACAATGGAATATTACTCGGCCATAAAAAAGAATGAAATAATACCATTTGCAGCAACCTGGGTGGACCTAGAGATTATCATACTGAGAGAAGTGAGTCATAAAGAGATGGACAGTGTCACATGATATCACTTATATGTGGAAGATAAAAAATAATACACATGAACTTATATACAAAACAGAAATAGACTCACAGACATAGAAAACAAGCTTACAGCTACCAAAGGGGAAAGTAGGAGAGGGATAAATTAGGAGTTTGGGATGAAAATATACACACTTCTATATATAAAATAGATAAACAATAAGGACATATTGTATAGTACAGTAAACTAAGGGACATGAATTTGAGCAGACTTCAGGAGATAGTGAAGGACAGGGAAGCCTTGGCATGCTATATAGTCCATGGGGTCACAAAGAGTCAGACACAACAACAACTGAACAACAACTGTGTATATACACATATATATCACTTCGTGTTTACTTGAAACTAGCACAACATTGTAACTCAGCTATAGTTCAGTTTAAAAGCACTTACATAAGCGCTGCTGGCACCTGCCTAGGCCCCAGCGCCAAGGCAGGTGCAGGGAGCCCTGGGGCATGTGTAGGAGCCAGGAACTCTGAGACTTGCTCTGCTGAGACTGTAAGAACTTGAGAATGTGCCTCTGCAGTCTCGTTTCTTCTGCCTCTAGTTTCTAGAGGCAGCCTCTAGAAGCCTCTAGTTTCTTCCTGAAAGGCAGTCTGTTGCTTCTAGCAGTGCACAAAACCAGTCTGGGCCATGGTCCCTCTGCCAGGATAAACATCCCAGGCTCTTGCTTGTCTCTTGTTCTGCCCTTGGGCCACCAGAATGAAGGCCACCAGTAATTTCCATCCAAATGAACTGCTATGCTTGGGGAAACTTCAGAGAACATGATCCAATGGAAACATTCTCAGCCCTTTCCTGCAGCTGACCTGTGGGGATCAAGTATCCAGACACAAGAGTAGGGCATCCTCTTTCTGACTGACTTCACTCTGTATGACATTCTCCAGGTCCAACCACATCTCTGCAAGTGGAACAGTTTCATTCCTTTTTATGGCCAAGTAATATTCCATTGTATATATGTACCACTACTTCTTCATCTGCCCCTCCATCGATGGACATTTAAGTTGCTTCCATGTCCTGGCTCTTGTAAACATTGCCGCCATGAACACTGGAGTACAAATTATGGTTTTCTCTAAATATATGCCCAGTAGTGGGATTGCCTGGCCATATGGTAGTGCTATTTTTGCTTTTGCAAACAATACAACACTGTAAAGCGACTATACTCCAATAAAAAAAAAATTTTTTTTTAAGTAGGACATTCTAAGTAAGTGGGCCTGGAAAGGTGCTTGATGTGCATGCCTGTAAAATGGGACACATGCTGGTATATTGTTCACTGGACAGGGTTGTGTAAAGAAGCATTCAAATGTCACGCCCTAGGGTGCACACCTTCAAGATCATGGTCAATTCCGAGGAAAGGGAAAAGGAGACAGCAGTGAGGATTGGATTTTGGTTATATGTGCTATATTTTTCTCTTTAAAACACATTGTTTTGCTTTTTAACAGAGAAAAACATGTTGCCTGTTAGGATGCAGATGGCACTTGAATAGTCTCTGCAGCCTGGGTGCATCTTCCACTGGGGACTCAGGGCCTCAGGAGACACCAAAACCCACAGGAGCAGGCTGCTGCTGCTCCAGGAGTCAACTCCAGGTAACTTCCGTGGACAGCGACGGAAAGGGACTGCATGAGGCTTGTTCAGCTTCCCCAGGGAGCAGAAGGCCCAGAGGGTGAGAAACTCAGCTGTGGTCAGAGCAGCTCCAGGCTCCACCCAGAACAAGTCAGGCCTGTGAGCTGCCTTTCGCTTCTCCTCTCAGAACTGTGTGCAAAAGAGAACTTGGCATCCAGGACGAATGTCGCGTTTTGAAGGAGGCTTTGTGAGGTCGGACGGACAATCTGCCAGGTCAGTCGCTGCCTTCTTGTCCCAAGAGAAAAACGCAATAGGGGACGTGTCTGTGAAGCAGGCTGAGAGTTCTGCAGAGGGAGAGGGAAGGGCCAGCTTCTTGCCGGAATGCAGAGTGTGGTGTGTAAGTCAGTGGACCCTGTGCACGAGCTCCCGCTCCCAGCTCAGCTCCCTGGTGCAAGTTCCTTGCATGTGTCTGTAACTCAGTAATAGAACCCACCTCTGGTTGTTAGGAGGTTAAAACCCTAAGATTCTAAACAGTGCCCACTTACAGTGCTCCGTATATGTTAGTTCTGGTCATCTTTACTGTGATTTACCTACCACCTTGATTATGAACAGATGATTTCTCTGAGCCTTAAAGTTCCCACCTAACTCCAAGCCACAGAGAGATAATAGGTGAAGTTTCTATAAGGACTGCCTACTGCAAAGTTGTAATGAAATCCAGACTCTCCTCAACTGGGTCCCATTGACATGGACAAGGAACCCCAACCTGAGCTCTGCATCAGAATCACGTGAGCCTTGATAAATAAAAATATTTTTAAAGGGTGCATGCTAAGTCACCTCAGTCATGTCTGACTGTTTGCAATCCTCTGGACTAATCCGCCAGGCTCCTCTGTCCATGGGTTTCTCCAGGAAAGAATACTGGAGTGTGTTCCCATGCCCTCCTCCAGGAGATCCTCCTGAGCCAGGGATCGAACCCGAGTCTCTTATGTCTCTTGCATTGGCAGGCAGGTTCTTTAACACTAGCGCCACCTGGGAAGCCCCCAGAAATGTTAATGTTAACTATTGACATAAGCAAATGTAGTCACCTCTTGGCATCCTTGGGGGACTGGTCCTGGGACCCCACGGATGCTCAAGTCCCTTTCATAACATAGTGGAGTACTTGCATATAACCTACACACATCCTCTTACACTCTTTGTTATCTCTAAATTATTTACAATACCTAATACTGTGTAAATGCTTGTACAGTTGACCTCTGAAAAAGCAGAGGTTAGAGACACTAACCTCCCCCCACCACCACAGTCAAATATCTGAGTATAATTTTACAGTCAGCTCTCCATGTCTGTGAATGCCTCTGGTACGATAGTAAATACTGGGTTGGCCAAAAAGTTCATTCAAGTCTTTCTGACTCAGTAAAATAAGCAGTTCCATCAGTGGAAGGTCACAACTTGACCCTGTGACTCGAAATTATCTTCTTTGATGGTAATTCCAGTTTCTGTTTAGACCACAGTACTTAAACGTCTGTCTCTAACCCAGGTTTCCAGGGACAAACCCCTAAAGAGTTCTTCATTCTACGTGGTCAGTGCTCTCTAGCCAGTGACCACAAGGAACAGATCACCTTGAATAAGATGGTTTATAGCTTATTAAAACAAGGGAAACACCGTGGAGAACTTGGGGTCTCTCATTAAGAGCAAGATAAAGCTTGCAAGTCTCTAGACTATAGGATCTGGGCTTGAGTTAGGTGGTCTAGAGGAAAGTTCAAGGAACTGAAGCTTTGCTCTGGATGCTGCCAGGAAGTGGAGTTGATTATATGATGGGGTGACTTTAAAAACCTTATCTAAATTTTAGGAGGCTTTTCTTCTCCAGGCTCCCCTGTTGAGTTGGAGCCAGGCAGGGAGGAGCCATACTGAGATCTGTGAGCAGAGACCAAACCCGGCCGCGGAACAGATTGTCCCAGAGCCACTGAGGAGCCAACTCCACGGTCCTCACGGTGCTCAGCGTGGGTGGCACCTAGGGGCTGCATCTCCACGACCGCAACGCAAGATTCCTGGACTGCCCGGGGCACCTGCCAGTAGGCCCTGCATCCCGTTAGAGAAGGAGCCACAACCGTCGACAGATTTTGGAAGTCTTCTGAGAAATTGTCAGCACTGCCAACTGTTGGAGTAATCATTTCTGCTCCTTTGATGGAGAGAAATGAGCAAAACCAATCCAACAGCAGGCTCCCAAGGACAGTCATCAGAGTCTGCGAGGAAACACTCAATGAAATGTGTGATTCACTGCTTATCACCTTGAACGATGGTCACTCAATGCCAGGAAGGCATTGAGTCTTGTACAGTGAGGGATCAGAATAAATAGTGTGCGGCTCAGAATGGACACTGAAGGAGCAGCCGAGATGGTGGAGGAGGAAGCCCTGAGCTCACTTCCTCCTGTGAGGGCACCCAAAATGCAACTGCTTA